TTTTCAATCTAATAACATGTATTTAATGTAAACAGTTATGTCATTTTATTCTCCTATCAGGTCCTATATTCATTGTACTGGAATATATGGTTTTTGGTAACCTCCAAACTTATCTTCGTGAACGGCAAACAAATGTAGGAAATACATATGCTAATCTAAGAGAACGTGTGTCCACTTTATCTCAACACAATTGTGTTGGTTTTTCACATCAGATATCTCTTGCAATGGACTTCATTGAAGAAAAAGGTGTAAGTTTCAATAGTTTATATACAAAGATGATTAGGAGTTATAACCACCATTTGTTCATATATTATTATATTTTGGCTCTTAATATCTCATTTTTTTCACATCTAGTGTGTTCATCGAGACTTGGCTGCTCGCAATGTACTATTGAATGAAAAGCTAGTATGCAAATTATCTGGATTTGGATTGGCAACCGATGTCCTGGATCAACGAGAATATGAGAGAAGGACTCAGGTAAGCAACATTACTACTTTGCTGCTGATATCACATTACCTAATTGATGTTGGTTAGTGTTCAATAGAAAAAAGGAGATCTAATTGATGTTTTTTCAGGGACGCTTACCCGTACGCTGGATGGCACCAGAGTCTATATTAGACGGAGTGTATACAAGCAAAAGCGATGTTTGGTCATACGGTATTGTTTTGTGGGAGATAACAACACTAGGTATATAATGTTTCAATTAAAACTCACTTCATACATCCTTAAACCTGTAGCAAACAATAAATAAACAGTATAAATTATTATACATGGCGGTCGAATTGGGGATAGGTATTAAATAAATGTTGGCAAGGGTAAATTATTAAATCAACTATAACTTAGTTAATTTACTAACTACCGCTTATACATTGCTACTTGCACTATTGTGGTTGCATTGGTTGTTATATCTATTATATCTAATGGCAATGACATTGTAAGTGTCAGTAAATCAACGTTGTAATAATATTATAGGAGATGTACCATACAACGATATGTCAACACAAGAAGTGATAGAGTGCGTGCATCAAGGATATCGAATGGCAAGACCAGATAAATGTCGCCAAGACGTGTAAGTGCATCTGTCAATATCATGTGACACTGATTAGTTTATATTATTACTATCACAGAGTAATGCTTAGTTTAGTTTTATTGGTAAATGTACTTTTGATATATTTGACCATTTATTGTATGTACTATTTATCATACAGATATTCTACTATGGAGAAATGTTGGGCAGAATAATCCCGAAATGAGACCGTCATTTCAGCAATTGGCGAAGACATTGCAAGCAATATTAGATATTGACAAGGTAATCCCTAATAATATTCACAAATAAGTTCACACACATTCAGTTATATTTGTCACATAATCTGATTAACATTATGCCAGTACATAATTCGTATTTATTATTTCTAGATGACAGATGAAATACATATCTATGCAGAGCCAAAGATGTGAACACGTAATAAAACTAACGTATAAAGCTGGCAGACAATGTTTACATTAAACAATTACTAGAGCTTCTCAACCAATCAATGACCCCATTGCAAGAATTGTTATGACACAATATCCTGTTTTTCAAGTATAATGGTCGTTACTAAGCCAACAATTAAAATAAGAATCTGTTGTAAAACGTCAAAACATTGTATAGAAATCACGTTATAATTGTGTTATGTACTTATGTTACATATCCTGATAACATGAAAGGGCATGCATGGATAATTACACATTGTCACTTTATCTACCTTGATTTTAATCATAACTTTCTTAAGGTTGTATTACGATTTTTTTTATTATGCTATCAATGTTATTGATAATGTTACAATTATAAAACAATAAAAATAAAATAAAATGAACTCTCCCGTCAATCATAATGAACTCAAGCAAATTTTGTGTTCTAAATATTTACCTCCCAAAGTGAGTTTAATTCATTCTTAGTTTGCAGGTTGTCTAATCTGAATAAAATATATTGCATAATATATCCATCAATATTGTTGCATGTATACTCGTAAAATATTTTGTGAATGTAATATAATTTTTCAAACACCAAGTTAATAAAATAAGGGAATCGGATAATATTGAACGTGTTATATTAGCATAATCTTAATTGAGAATATATATTGTAGCATGCATATTCTAGCAAAGAGAAAATATATATGTCAGTGTCAGCTTGTACCAACAAGGAAGCTCATTAAGTCTAAAGTCCAAACGAACATGTATATATAACCACGCATGGTATTTACTGTTATTAATAAATCCCCTTACATATACTTTAGAGATACATGGAGAAGGCGACAATGTATTTATTATATGTAGAACAATTACAATATATATACACTTCTGAGTATAGGAGAATATTACGGAGACAATTATTAGAATGCCCATTGTAAATATACATGAAGGGTTAGTGACAAATATTTCAAAGTATAAGTTGAACAAATATCACAAACGAACACAAAAGTAGTAATAATAGTTTATTTAATGCTTACTAATACTACATTTAGTTTTGCAAATCCATGTACAAGTCGTTATATGCTCATGGATGTATTCAAAGTTCAGCATTTGACCCCACTGATGTATGTATTACAACGCACTTGACGGGATAAGCAAATTTATTCAGTAAGGCGGAGGTCATTGAGGGCGAGATTATTCACACAACGTACTGGCACGTATATAACAGATTTTTTTGCGGTCGGCTAGGTGGCGCTTCACCCATCAATATCAAACTGATTCTAGCAGACCAGTGTTTCTAAGAGTGTAACAATTAGAAGTAGAGTGGACATACAATTTAAAACTAATAATTAAAAAAAAAACCCATCTTTTCTGTCTATGTTTCGACAACTTTCTTAATAGCGATTCTAATTTTTTTTTACTTCAACAATATAGTCTAAACGTTACTGGAATCTAAACAATTTTAATGTCATACTTAACAATCTTTCTGTTTGCAATCAGAAACTTAATTACATCTTTAAAATATGTATTGCATTGGTTTATTTTCATTTTAGTGCATATTTTTTTTTAGTGCAAACTACTTTAAATGAGTTGAAATTTTCCATTGAGATGAAATATAAAATCATAGAAGTTATTAGTCACTTACTCAGTCAGAGTTTGATTTAGGTGACTAGTAATGTAGACTAGTCTACATTAAATACACGGATTTGTCTAAATGTGTTTAACTCATTCCCATGTTGTATCCTTGAAAGGGAAATATGTATAATAATATGGTTATTACGAGGATACCTCAAAGTATGCACGAATGCAGTACAGCTGAGTATC